CAAACCAAGATTCAGATCATTTCTTCAATCTGAATTAACACTATCTGCTCACTTCATCAGTTGAGGTCAACAAGGAATCTGGGGCTACTAGCTTTATGTTTTTCTGATTTGCACAAAATAAAAATTAAGCTTCTTCCCCAGCTTTTCAGTCCAGAAGTGACAGTATGCTAAATTTTCAATAAGTTAAGACAATGGTGTGATACTATTAGGTGATAGATTGCTAGTTCCCACACTTCAGTGCTGTACTGGATACATGAGTTGTTAAAAACATAGATAACTGGATGTGTGAAAATTTACTGAATCGTCGTCTCTTGGATTAATTCTAGAATCTAAGTTACTAACAAAACTCCCCCAGGTGGGAGGTTTTGATGGCCCTCAGTGCCAAATTTTACCAGTAGCATTTGAAGCAGCAATCCAAAGTTGAAAAAATCTCACAGCTGTGTCAGCCGTATCATAGGCATAAAGGTTGTATTCCAGTTTTTTGCTGTGTGTCACTTTTATTCATCTTCTTTCTGGGCATTTTCCCTCCACCACCTGGAAATCTTTGCACTCTGTTCTCTGCTTTCTGTCTCAAGTCTGCCTATTATGAATATAAGTTCTATGCCTATATTTCACTCCGGAATATTTAGGTAGGTAACTTCCCACTGCTTGACCCAATGAAGCAATGTTTTGCCTCAGAAATAGCTTTCTACCCTTGGGTAATCTCAATATAAATATAGATGTGCTTTGCAACTTTGGCATTTTTTAAAAATGAGTTTTAAGCCAGGCTCAGTGGCTCAGCCTGTAATCCTGCGCCTTTGGGAGGCTGAGGTGAGTGGATTGCTTGAGTCCATGGGTTTGAGACCCACCTAGGCAGCGAGACCTCATCTCTACAATAAATCAAAAAACAGCTGGGCATGGTAGCGCATGCCTGTAATTTCGGCTACTTGGAAGGCTGAGGCAGAAGGATCGCTGGAGCCCAGCAGGTCGAGGCTGCGGTGGCCAGGAGCGGCCACTGCACTCCAGTCTGGGTGACAGAGTGAGACTCCAACTCAAAAAAAAAAAAAAAAAAAAAAAAAAAAAGAGTTTTGACTTGAAGTTAGAGATTTCATTTATATACCAAACCAAACAAAGACCTAATCATATATTCAAAAGAAAGGAAATAATCACTTTTGTCAGATCTCTTAATTCTAATGTCTTCCTTTTAGGATACACATTAGATTTGTTATTTATTTTTTAATGAGGATCCAATGTGGAAACTTCTGAGACTGAACTGTAGATATCCTGCTGTCTTACTCAGAGAATCTTAGTTGACTTTAAAAGGTATCATTCCTGCTACGCCTTCCCTGGCTTCTAAATTTAAAAACAAATAAATAAATAAAATCCTGTTAAGTCACTCAAAGACTTATCAGAATGGTTTCTCTCATAAATAGTCAAACATTAGCAATTATGGAGTGCCTTCTTTCTGCCAGGAGCAGTACTATGCAGTGCTCTCATCTTTAAATTAAGGGAAATTAATTTTCCCTTTCATTTTAAAAATAGAAATTTTGGAAACCTTATATTAACGATTTGCCTAAGATTATATAATTAGTGACTATAGCAGCTGGTTGACTCAACGTAGTCTCTGCTAATTAATATTCTTCTAAGGAAAGGTGAAATAAAAGACAGACTTTTTAGTTTGACAAAGGGCTAATACTTAAGGTCTTAAAAATGACCCCTCGAGAAATGATTCATGTAGTTTTATATGATTTTTCTCTTCTCTTACAAAGGCAAATTTATCTGGTGACATTTTTCAGCACATGACTTAACAGACAAACACCAAATGCAATGCACTCTAACATTTTCACCTCTTGGAGCTTTTGTCTTACTTTGAAAAGAACATATAAAGAGGATGAAATCACCACTATTGAAATCCTGGCATCTGTAGGGCAGATCAGTGTGGGTGTGCAGCCGCTCGGCACACAATGAGAAGATTGTCTCCGTGACATGAAAAGAAAAAATGTTTCCCTTTGAACTCAAGGCAAAGATTGGGTATGCTTATTGTAATTATCTGTGTTAGAGTTTTGCCACATACCTTAGGGGTGAACAGAGCATCCAACTTTAATGATACATGTCAAATACATGGAAGAAATTGCTAAAAAGCAAAATAAGGCACTCACTGGGTTAGAGACACCTCACCCAACTTCCCAGACTCATGCACATTTTGCTAAGACTTAACTTACAGAGCTTTATTATCAACCTTGCTATATTTCTTCTTCAGTTTCTTCAAGGAATTGGAAGTATTTCATAGAACCTACCTGCCTTGGAGATAGAGCTCTCCAAAGATATATCACAATGGTAGACAATGATAAAAGGACCTCTTTCACTTCCCAACTCTCAGAAAATATTGCAAAAATAGTTTATGTTCTACTGCATTGAAGGGAGTGAGGAATTTGTTAAGTAGGAAGATGTGATTCATCTTAGTTCCTTCACTCTCTAGCGTATTGGCCAAATAATTAATAAATGCCTACCATGATACTGGATATAGAGAACTGAGCTGAGCAAGTATGATTGCTTGTTGTCAAGGAGTAGGTTGTCCAGTTGGGGATCAAACAGTAGACAAATGCAAATTAAAAAGGATGGACAATTACAAATTGTGATGATGATTCTAAGGTAGAAGTAAACTGTGCTTATATTAGAGAATCAAGAAACTGATTTAGAGTCGAAGTGGAGGGTAGGGAGTGGAATCTCTTGACAGATGTGGCACTTAGTTGAGCCCCCGAGGGTTGTCAGGAGTTATCAATTCAAAGAGCAAATCAGAAGTAAGAGTATGTGAAAGGCGCATGAAGAATATCATTCATGGGGACTGAAAAGGGGCTTCTTTTGTGGTTGAGTGAAATGAATGGAGTGGATGTAGGAGTTGGGGGAAATGAGGATAGAGCTGGAGGCAGACCCAGAGGCAGCCTTGCTGGCTGTATTGAGTTTACTACTTCTTCTGTGACTGACTGCTACTACTATAATTTATGTTTTGTCATCAGAGGAAAACGAAGTGACAAAAGACTTTAGCTGGACATGACATGATCAAATTTACCTCTAAAAGACTATGCTGGCTGCTGCTGCTTGAAAGTACAATTCTATAGAAGACCTGTAGTATTGAATGTTTTCATACATCCCATTACCTCTGAAAACACATAAGTGTGTTCAACCCCATGTTCATTCCTGTAATGAAAGAAATAGACCCCCTAAAGAATGCTGGTCTATATTCTGAACTAACGGGCTGTTGGGGCTTTTCATATACTGTGTATATCCACTCCTTCCTGTTTCCTGGAGCACATAATTATTTGGGGTAACCAAAAATGA